ATGGTGCTTCAGCGCATTCTGGAAGAATAATACAAGAATAGCCTAATGAAAATTATATGGGGCGATGAATAAGTAGAACACCAAATACCAATGTGAACCATAAAGGTGCAGAGGGTCCAGTGTCTTGGCCAGCTAGATCGCCAGATCTAAACCACCTGGACTTCTATGTTTGGTGTTATCTAAAAAGTAAAGTTTACTCTACTGAAATAGATAAAGGATCACAACTACTGAAGCGAATAGAAGAGAGTTGTAATGAATTATAAGAAAACCACCATATGATATTAGCTTCAATTAATTCCATTAATAGAAGACGTCAGAAATGTATCGATGTGGGTGGTTCGAATTTTGAATAATTGTTGTAAATACGTAACGTTGTTTCTTGTTTAGTTGTTGTTGTTTGGTAAATTATTTTTATTATTATTGTGATTTAAATTGTTCTTATTGGTAAAAACAGTGGATTAGGCCTCCAAGGAAAACCAGCCCAGGAACACTACCTCATAGGTGGTGTGGAAAGAATTTTGTTGATGTACTTACAAATTGTACTTACTATTAAATAAACAAATATTCTTATAATCTTATGGTTAGAAGTGTCTGCCACAAGGACATTGTATTGATGTAAATAACTTGAGAACGGCAAAGCTTAGGGAAAAAATTGAAGTTACCTTTTTACGTATTTTATGTATTAGAATATCAATAGGTTATAATATTTTGTAAAAAATGAAGTGGCATAGTTTTTTTTTTATAAAAAAGGGGTGACATGTCTGGCTGTATACCACTGGTTGAACCTTTAGAGCCCATATTTTGGGAATGTAAGGCTTACTATCGTATATTATCTGTACCAAATTTTATTAAAATCGGTTAATATATTCCGGAGATATAAACAAAAAATCAATTTTTTTTAACAACTTCAACACGCTGTATCTCTAAAACGAGGCCGTCCCAGACCTATATGTAAGGCAAACACCTATTATTTTAAAGAGATCTATCTACCCTCCAAGTGTATAAGGTTGATAAGACAAAATACCAAAAAAATTATATAACTTATGACGTATATTTATGAATATTTCTGTTTTTCGATTGTTTCCCTTATAAAATGATAAAATGTCATTTTATTTCAGTTCAGGGGCTTATTTTTTTGAAAGTGTTTTTCAACTTTTCACTTTTCACTTTTCATTTTACAAACGTAGAAAAGCGAAGAATAATTCTATTTTATAAAAAAATGTACTTTACATAAATGTTATGCGTTTTAAGAAGCTTCAGCTATTCATTGTCATTGTGCAGATTATCAACTGTTTTTTTAATATTAATTTTGAAAACAGAAAATAGCCAGAAAAATGAAAAGCAAGGAGTGAAAAGTTGAAATGTATTTATAAAAAACAGGCTCCCCGGTCATAATTAGCTTACTTAATTGTTTCTTCGATTAATGTAAAGCTTGATATTTAATACTTTTCAATAAAATTACATAATTACATTTATAAGATGTACGAACAGTGACAAAAAATTATTCGCTATCTAAGCATTTCATAATTGTTTAATTTGTTCTGTTCTTAGTCGTTTTCAGAATTCACATGTTTTTCAAATAATTGAGTCTTTTGGAATTATAAAAAAAAACAAAAAAATATATAAACTAATTTTAACCTTTGCACCAATCTATTTCTATTTTCAAATATTTCAGCAGAATTCTAAGAAAATTTTAACAGATACGTTTTATAGAAATTGTATGACATTTTAAAGCAGATGTGATTTATGTTATAATATTTTATACAATAAATTTGTTTTCATGTTTAAACTAGAATTGCTCGGTTAGTTTTAATAATTTAATTTCAAATATTGAACAAACTTTAAAAAATGGGGATGAAAGACAGAAAGTAACTTATTACAGGAGGTAATTTTATTAATACTGTATACATTAATGTCGAGATGTCTAAGTTTAAAGTATTTAATAAGATATCTTGAAGGACTTTTAAAGTATCGCACAATGATATCTTTTATCCATTTTCCGAAAAAAAAAAAAAAAAATGAAGAAAGACCTCTTTTTTACATGTATGATCCACCAAGTGTGGCCGCTGGGATTTATGATTGTGGTATATATTTGATTATTTTTTTTATTTCAGACATTTGGTAATTTTGTTAAATAGTTTTCTTGTTTTAAATATTTTAAAAAAGTATAGTAATAACACAGTGGTGATTGCTTTGAAAATGGAAATAAGAAATATTACAACCAATTTTGTGTAATCCGAATGACGGAAAATACACTGACAAAAAACTTTTATACTGACATTTTTTCATTTAGCAGATAAGTAAAATAATCGTCTTAATTTTCTCAGATTGCGTAACAGAATATTACTATTTTAACGTTTTGCAAATTTAGAGGTACCTATATTTAATATAAAATGTAAATCCTAGATAAATAGGTTTATAAAAATAACCTATTAATTGAGCATTTTGGAGCAAGGAATTATTTATTATTTTTAAAAAAATATTTTAACATAATTAAATTTCTTTTTCTTTCAGTGTGAGAACAAATTACAACATTAAATAAAAAACATACCTTACTTTTAAATAATCATGTATGCAAACATGCAAATGTTAAGGAGCTTATTTCTCATTTAAATTTAGGAGCCCTTCCTGATATAAACCTAGACTTACCGTTGTGATAGCAGGTGATAATTGTTATACTTTTAAATATATTTTGACCAAATGAAAATATGAAATTTTGTGTACATAACCCATGGATAGTGAAAACTAAATCAGTACGATATGAATGTTTTGCTATTGAGGCACAGGGACTCCATTTTTAATATTCTTTGCAAAATAATTTATAAAAATCTTAAGTTCATCTAAACGTATCTATCATATTACCAGTTTGCTAATTTGTACCAATACGATAAAAGTGATATCAGTAAAAGTCAAAATATCGTTATAGTTCAAAATAAAATTTATGTTGACTCTGGTTTGAGCTAAATTTTCTATGCCCACTAAAATTCATTTTAATATTGTAATTTATTCAGAAAATATTTAGGGGAAAAATGTATTCTATTATTAACTTTCGCATTTTTTACTCTATTTTAAAGGTATTCTAGCAAATTCAAAATTTTTTTATAAAAAAGTTAAGGAATGTTCTATACCGGAAATCTAGGTATGTAAAAGATATATGAGACTTCTTACTGTTGATATTGCGTGACACGACTACTATATGGGCTATGAGGTATATCCACAAAGTAAGAGTACTGAGACTTTGAGGCTCTGTGGTTTTTGTTTTCGACAAAGTTGGCAACATTGCATTTAAGGTCAATATGTGGGGAGCAGAACGCGCACTCATTTGTCACTTGAGAACTGTTGTTGTAGTGGCGTGTTGAAAAATGAGTACCTCTGTTCCGAATCCAGCAGGGTGAGAAGAGTATTCTGGTTTCTTCTGGCAGAGAAAAAGGCGCCGTTACAGATTTTTAACAATATCAAAACTGTCCGTAGGGATGATGTGCTCAATCGTACTAGTATATACAAGTGGTGTCGTGAGTATAAAGCCAGAAGAACGAATGGTCATGATGAACAGGAGTGGGCGTCCCTCAATCGTGACTGATGAGATAGTGAACAAGATCGAAGAAATGCTTCGTGGCGACCGTCGATTGACTTTGGACGAGTTGAACGCAGTGTTTCTACATATTTCCAGGTCATCACGGTCACCAGGTGAACCACCCCGTCCACAGTCCCCACCAGGCACCTTCTGATTTACATCTTTTCTCTTCTCCGAAGGTGTTTGCGGGTGGAAAAGGGTTTTCTACCGACGCGACGATGAGGTCCACAGTGCCGTGAAACAATGGCTCCGAGAGGCGGCGGAAAATTTTTTTGACAAAGGTATCAGAAAGCTCATCCCTTGGCTCACAAAGTGCATTGAGGTTGAAGGCGACTACGTCGAAAATAGTGGTTGATGTATCTTTCTGAATATGTTATTTTTTCATAAATATACTTCCGTTTCGATTTAAAAAAAAAATTGAGTACTCTTACTTTGTGGATATGCCGTGTATATGCTCCAACTAGCATTAAATTATACCACTAACAGTGGCGTAACCAGAATGTCAAGTTGGGCGGGGGGTCTAAAAAAATTCTTAAAATTTGCAGCAAAACTGTGTTAAAATGAACAACGCTAGAAGGATGTTTTTGAAATTATGATGGTGTGATACAGACCGTGGAGCCTACCAAGCTAGAATATTTTCAAGGTCATCGTACTTCTGGTTATACCAGAAGTGGATACTAACTTTCTTATTTTAAATGGAACCCTCTGTATATTATTGCAAATCTTTGGAGCGGTTTCCCAGATATCCTGAGTTCGTGGTGGGACACCCTGTATTTATAATATATTGATTTTTTATAGTATATAAATTGTTTTATATTTGGTAATTTAAAATAAAAGTGTAGATTTAAAAAAAAATCTGTATCACATCAAAAAAGGAACTAAACATTTTCAGACTCTATCACAAAAAATATCTCAAAAATCACAACAGAAAATAGCAAAAATCAAAGTGCATAACCACAAAACATGTACAGCACAGACTACCAAGTACAGACTCTCAGTTCAACACAAATTATGACAGACGGCTATGCATTTATGAAGTACGTGATGCGATCGGTATACCCAGTGACATAGAAAGTTAGGCAACCTGCCCCTTTAGGAATCTTGACTGATGCCGAGGTCCGTCCCTGCGCCAAGTATGATAAAAATCGCACGACAGATCTTTGGGGGGGGGGGCTAAAGCCCCTAAAGCACCCCCCCACTTGTTATGCCAGTTACCACTAATACCTAGTAAACAGCAAGTAATAAATAAATATCTAAAATACAATATAAAAATGATATAATTAATACAAAAACATTACCTGTTATACCTATTAAACCTGTTAAATAATGTAATCATTCAAACAGTGTTGTTTGATTTCATTTGAAAAATTTTATACAAAATGTTTTTTTTGTTATACAAATTTAGAAGTTTATGAAAAAAATGTACCTGTGTCTAGTTCATATGTAGGTAGTTGATTCACCAGTGCCCAAGCGACCCTCGTAACCTCGCCGACGTATCTCCTCAGCCCCGTGCAATTTTCCAAACATTTATATTCCCGTAATGTATCACAAACTAATGTGATAACCTGACTCTCCGCTTCTGATAGAGGAAAAGTTTCCTTGGAAGAGGAAAGGCATCGCAGGATTTCCTGGCGAAGGTTCTGACCGGCAGACGATCGAATGTCGATATGAAGGAACCGAAACGTTTCCCTCAGTTTCGCTTCCCGTAGATTTTTGCAGGTCCTGAAGGCAAGCTGTAACACTCTTTGTTAATTAGCTAGAACTTAACTGGGTTAGTATGGCAATCAAACAGGGCGATGTGATTGTTAGGGGTTGTTTGTCTTGCTCCGAATTTAATTTTGACGTGGCAGAATAGGACTAATTTCTTGTTTAAAATCAAATTCGAATGTTTCGAGGCATAAAATTCCCTGACTAATTTGGTATTTCCAGAAAGATCCTGCTTTTAAATAAAATATTTGGTAGCCCAATATACTGCAAAATATTTGATTTGGAGTAAAATAAACCTTAATAATACGAGAGAGCCATTAAGTAACATGAATAATTTAATAATATCTTTACAGGAATACTTATAGAATTGTGCCTTATTATTTAATAGTTCTTAGGCTTCATAATATACATGATCTAGGTCTCTGTAAACCTATAGATGATCTTTACAAAAAAGTTTTTTAATGAAGCTTTAAACCAATTTATACTTCACTATAATTAGTAAAATTCTGAACGGTAGATGTTCTTTGAAAAATCGAAACAAATAAGAGTCTGATAATGGCAACTCTACGATAGATATTACTGCGTCTCAACTTTCAGAGTAGTCATCAGTAGATACATCGGGTGTCCCAAAATTTACGCAAGATTTCGATTTTACGTCAATTGCGCGGTAAAGTGTACCTACGAAAAAAAAAACAGCGTGATAGCTGACACCTACACAAAAGAACAACGCAATGTCATTGTTGAGCAATATTTTAAAAATAATTAAGGTTTGGCAGCAATTTTCGTACAAATATGGTTGGAATAGTGATTTACCTTCATCAACTGCGAAAAGATTAATTTAAAAATTCTGGCCGACAAGTCGTTCAATAGAAGACATCGAAGCAATTCGTGAGTGTTGTTGAAATTGCAAAATATGTGGTTTCAACAAGACGGTGCCATATGCCATACAGCCCTAGAAACAATTCAATTACAGCATGTTATTTCTTGGTCGTGTAATTTCCCGTTTTGGTGTTTTTATTTAATTGATATTCGGGGAGTGTTGATTATAACAGACACCTTTAATATCAGGCCGAGTATGTATCCCATTTATGCTAAAACATTATGTTAGAAATAACATTTGTAAATAACGTGCCGTAAACGGCACGTTATTTACGTTGTTATGTTGTACGTAGGACCTGTTATTTACGCTCTGTGTTTCATATTTTATAACCTAAAAGAACTATTTTAGCTGTATCTGTTTTTGTCTATTGAGTCGGGTATTTATAATAATTCTGCATTATTATTATTAAATAATATGTCGGTGAAATACATTCTCAAAGTTCGCCCCTAAAAACAGTTTTTTCTAAATATCTGGGGTTCTAATCAATATTTTGGAATAAAACAATATGCAAAATTACTTCTTATAAAAAAAACAGATGTTTCATTAGTGATTTCGTGTTTGGGGGTTGCTACCCTTATTTTTTATTTCAAAAAAATTACATTTTTCAAACATTTTTTATACAGGGTGATTCAGAACTTATCCAAAAAAAAAAATTCTGGATGTACAGGGGACCCTTACAAATACAATTTTGTAAAGAAAAAATCAAAAAGGGCAGTTCGAAATTATTTAAAAATACATTTCTGCACGGCACTGGAAACTGGTCCACTGTAAAACCTGACCCCGCACAATGAGACCGGCATGGCGGTCTGATAAAAACGGACAAAAACTTTCGCAAGGAAAGAAATATGTAAATAGAATTTTATCGCACCTATTTTATATCGGCAAATTCAACTGCTTTTACCTTTATTAATTTGTGTTTTTAAATAATAAAATCATTTGACATACCTGATGTTACAACAATTGTTCNAAAATTAAGTTCTCGAACAACCCCCTAGTGAGCGAAAAATGTCTATACGATTAGAATTAACATTACAAAATAAAAAGTTTTTACTTTTTCTCTAATCATACGAATAATTTGTTCTATTAGCCTCAAACGGATTTAAACGGATGCAAACTACCCCTGATGTTCACCCCCCAAAAACAGTATTTCTGTGATAGCTCGGGTTCTAATCAATATTTTGGAATGAAACGAAATGGAAATTACTTCTTATAAAAAAAACAGATACTTCACAAATAATTTTTTCTATTGGTCTAAAACGGATTTAAACTGATGAAAACTACCCCTGATGTTCATCCCTCAAAAACGGGTTCGGTAATTTCCATTTTGTTTAATTCCAAAATATTTATTAGAACCCGAGATATCACGGATATACTGTTTTTGGGGGGTGAACATCAGGGGTAGTTTGCATCTGTTTAAATCCGTTTTAGACCAAGAGAAAAAATTATTCGTATGATTAGAGAAAAAGTTAAGACATTTTTCGCACACTAGGGGATTACTAGGGGGTTGTTCGCCCCCTAAAATGAGAAATTATTTTTGTCAATTTGTTTACATAAATCATATTTTTAATATTTTGAATCAATATGAATTTTTTATATATAAAAAATGTTTGAAAATATACTTAGTTTTCCTGAAATAAAAAATAAGGGTTGCAACCCCCAAACACGAAATCACTTGTGAAACATTTTATTTTTTTAAAAGAAGTAATTTCCATTTTATTTCATTTCAAAATATTGAGATGTCACAGAAATATTTTGGGGGTGAACATGAGGGGTAGTTTGCATCCGTTTAAATCTGTTTGCGGCTAATAGAACAAATTATTCGTATGATTAGAGAAAAAGTAAAAACTTTTTATTTTGCAATGTTAATTCTAATCGTACAGACATTTTTAGCACACTAGAGGGTTGTTCACCCCCTAAAAAGAGAACTTTATTTTGTCAATTTGTTTACATAAATCATATTTTTTATTTTTTTTAATATGAATTTTTTTATATATAAAAAATGTTTGAAAAATATAGTTTTTCTGAAATAAAAAATAAGGGTAGCAGCCTCCAAACACGGAATCTAATGTGAAACATTTGTTTTTTTATAAGAAGCAATTTACATTTTTTTTCATTCCAAAATATTGATTAGAACCCCAGATATTTAGAAAAAACTGTTTTGGGGGGCGAACTTTGAGGATGTATTTCACCCCCTAAATATGTTTTTCCGCCGATAAAAAAAATATGTCATTTAATTTTTTATGTTCTACAACCGAGTCTACAACGTATATATAAATATTGGAAATCGGAGAGTTCGGGTTGGGGTAGTTTCCTTGTTAGATCCTTCTTCGTTTGATTTAACCTAACAATAATTTTAGGGTAAATACTTACCTAAGTTACTTAAATTTTACAACTTACCTTCGATGTGCGTTTATAAAACCGGCAAGTAAATGTAAATTTAACAAGCCGTTCATTTTCATTAGACAAATAACACGTACGTTAAACTATAGCAACACCAAATTCCTTGCCTTTAAGAAACTCTGTTATAATTTAAGATAACGTGTTACAAACTATTTTATGTCGTACTTACCCGTTATTTACGAGTTTGCATTTATTTCATGTTTCATAACCTAAAAGACATTGTCAGTTATATGTGTTTTTGTCTAATACTGACTCTTGTTTATAATAATTTTACATAATTATTATTAAAAATGTCGACACAAAAGCGTCTTCAAAATACAACAAAATTGCAATACGAGTATTTGCTAAAAATGGTCTTAATTCCTCAACAACGTGCACGTTATATGTTAACAGTTAACGTTAACCTTAACGTTTAACCCTGAAATAACGTAACTGTTATTATGATAAAATGGGATACATACTCGGCCTGATTGATATCAGCGTAACTTTTCCAATGCAAACGTGAATTTGGAATATTTTCTGAGCCGTCACGAGAACTTATAAACGACAAATATGAAAGAACAGTTTATCAGTAATTACTTATACTGATAAACCGTTACTTCCATTACGTGCTTCATATCATATTTCATCTTTATAATTTCACCCTTTTTAAGAGTGTGACCTGAATATGTTACATTTAATTAGTCCCTTTTATTGGATGTTGTTGTGGCCTGCGAATTTTCATTAACATTTCGTTGCCGCTGTCAGCGTCAGTCCTTCCCACTGTTGCACATGAGCAGCAAAATATCAAAGATAATCAGGGAATCACGACAACACCCTAAGTATTACTAACTTCAACTCGGACTAAACCTGAAAGATTAAAATGTAATATTTATAAACCGAAATAGCGGATTTCTTGGAGGGAATAGTTGTTTTAAAATTATGAATATATCGGGTATTAAAGTTTTGAAAAAAATATTATATACAGTGACATTAGCTGCCTATTATAAAACATTTTTTAAGGTATACCGCTCGCTCAAAAAAGTTGTGAATCAAATATACGATTTGTTAAATGAAATACTCCATATATTTTGATCTCAAAATATTAAGATTTGTATATTTGCTGATCATCTGATATAGTTTTTGGAGTTTATTATTAGTCGTTTTCTAAAATTGCTCAAATGTTTATACTTAAAATTAACTCAATTGCGTTGAAAAAATAACACTATTCATTGAGTAATGTTGACATTGAATAACTTTTGAGCTATTTTGCTATCAAGCTTTGATTAAAAGTAAATTTTGTCTGACAGCATAGTCGGAACTGCGGGTTGGTATTTGCATGTACAAAATTTTGTGTTTCCCATACTTTGAAATAAGTAACAGTGACAACGAGAGGCGTGATTTTTACACAGTATTTATCATTTTCGTATATTTTTATTTTTCTAACTAAAAATTGCGTTCATGAGTTCATTTCCATACTAAAATCTTATGTTCATTCAAAACTCTATACTAAATTGATTTCACCCATAAATACCGCTGATGAATTTACACTGCATTATTTTTTAGAGTATACTTCTTTTCTGTAAAAATTGACCATAATTTAGTATGATCTGTGTCAAATACAAAAATAATGAAACATAATAACATCACAAGACTCTCTCTGTAATTAACTTATAATAAAAACCTAGGTCTTTAATCATTATACAATTTATCTGACTTTTTAAACGGCATCTATAGTATATTATTGCGTTCTCAAAATATGTCTTT